GGTGATGGGCCATAATAATCATATACATTGTATATTGACAAAATAAAAATTTAACGCAAAAGAAAAAAAAAATAAAATAAAATAAATCAGACAGTTATCCTAGTTGGATCTATCACTTTTGACACCTGCTGTCTTACCACCAGAGTGATACTTACTTGAAAAGAGAACTTTTTGGCCTTTGAGGTTTCTTCTTGGCAAAAAAAGCTGCAAACTCTCGTCCAGTACTGGCATAGCTTAGTTGAGTTGATGGTTCAGAGGCCGTACGAGTATTTTTCATATCCAAGTACTCAGTCAATAGCATCTGTACAACCAAAAAAAGAGTTTAATACATACATTTTTAATGTGCTATTAAGAAAAAACATTTTATTTTATTTTATTGAAACGTAATTGATCATACGTATTTCTGAGGTATAGAGTGTAATGTGAAAACCTATGTACAATGTACGATGATCAAGTCAGGATAATTAGCATATTCATCAATACAAAACATAATCATTTCTTTGTTTTCAGGACATTCAATCTCCTCTCTTCTAGTCATTTGATAACATACAGTAAATTAATGTTAATTATAGGTGTCTAGCTCAACTGTACCTCAATAGAACTTATTTCTCCTAACTAGTTGTTTTGTGTCCATTAACTCATTTCTCTAACTCTCATCCTCCCCCTTTACTCTTCTAGTAACCACAGTTCTGTTCTCTCCTTCTGAAAGTTCAACGTATTATTACATTTGTGGTGGATTGAACACCCCTCCAGAGTCACTGAAACTTAATCCCCACTGAAGGTGAGAAATCCTTTAGTGGTAACTGAAAGGTGGGGCCTTGGAGAGGTGATTGGATTGTGAGGACTGTACCTGCATGAATGGATGGAGCCATTCTTACGATAATGGGAGTGGTTCTGGTGGCTTTAAAAAGAGAGTGAATGAGGAAGTTAGTCTCTCTCTGCTCTACCATTTTCTCAATGTGAAGCCCTTGTGTTGTTGTTAAGCCACCACCAAAGAAGAACTTCACCAGATATGTTTCCTGGACTTTGGATTTCCTGGCTTCTGAAACTGTAAGCAATAAGTTCTGTTTTCTTACATACCACCCAGTTCCAGGTATTGTGTTATAAGCAACAGAAACAGACTAACACAATAGTTCTT